AAGATGCTTGGTTGAATATCTATTTTCTTTGAACTCAAGTGCTCTGCCTGCTTTGCCTTAGAGATATGTCTCTGCTCTTCAGACTCCTAATACGCAACTGTCCTCATTACACAGCAGAAATCTTACTAAGTGCGTTATTGGTAAAGACAAGTTAATTTTTTTTTCTTAAATAAAGAAATAGAAAATTATGAAGTCCTCCTGTGAGTTTCAGCAGTCAAAGCAAATAGAAAGAAGGCCTCGAGTTAGTAGCGTGACAAGCTGTTAAGACTGGAACTGGTAAATGTGCAATATAAGAAGTAGGGCAAGGGAATATTTAGGATCAAGAGATGCCAAAATTGTAATCAGCAAATGGAAGGCTAAAACTGATGAGCAAATCTGGGTGCTTTTTTATTATTTATTTTTATTGTTTAAGCTGTGCCATATAACCGTCTTGTTAAACGGAACAATCAATAACAGCTCCTGACCATCTCACCGCAGCGCCGTGCACACACCTCCACCCACACCGCTTGTGCCATGAACTCAGGTGAAGAGACAGGTACAACGCTGCTGAGCAAAAGAGGTGCTGTCCCGCTCTGGGCTCCAGATGGTCAGTGCCTGCAGACACAAGCTCCCATGTCAATTTGAGGCTTGCAAAATCTGGATGCTTAAAGCCAATGAGCATTTGCGACATCAAATACACGTCAGAGATTAGAATTTCAGAGTTTGCTAAGAATGTCTCAAAAACCCCAAGTGTTAGAAGTACCCCATTACACAGTAAAGACAGTGATGTACACGAGAACAAAGTTACTGCATAAAGACTCGAGTCAACCAGCTTGTGAACGTGAACCTCCCTAAATCACCAAACCCACCACGGGGACCGCAGGATGGCACCACAATGGGTGCGGGTACTGCAGAGCCATGGCACGAGTGGTCAGAGGGATGAGCACATGGAGGCAATATGCTGCAGGTGGCTGGCAGGGAGAGTAGATGAGTATCATTGCCAAACTCACATACATCAGCCAAAGCCACCAAAAGCAACATGTCATTTGCTGCCGGTAAAGCAAGACGACAACAGGTGAATGTACGAGAAGCGAAGCAGCCAGGACACATATACCTCTCTAAAGGACCCAAAGCAGTGGGAGGTGTTGACGGCATGAAACATTTATGTTTAAGGATAGAAAACACAAAAGAGTTGTTTCATAAACTATTCTCTGTTCTGGAGGAAGAGTTATTAGACTTGAAGGACAGGTGATGTCTCTGAAATATGCAAATAGAGCTGAGCTGGTCCAAGCAATTACCTTCCTACTGCCTGGAACTTCAGACAGAAAGAAATGACTCACAAGAAAGAACAAGAAACAAAAGACGCACTAAAAGATAGACGATGACGAAGGAAGACTGCACCAAGAGGAGAATGGAGACAAGCATGGAAAAGTATGGTTCTGATCTCCTACTAGCAGCTGTTCTTGGGAAAAGGCACAAAACCTACAACACAAAACACAGTAAGACCATGTCAACACAGGAAGACCTAACTCCAAAGCACCCAGAAAGGCAATTGTAATTACTGGTTCTAGACTTCTGGGTTCAAGATAAATACAACGAGACTCCTGCAGCTTCATGAATGTAAAATATCCTTTAGGTTATCTGCTATATTAAAGATTTCCTAGCAAACAAAATTGCTGAGAATAAATGCAGTAGGATCATTTCTTTTCAGGTTTTACACAAAGCTCTGAAAGAAAAGATTAGGCATGACTGGAGCAGACAACCGCCAGCAACAAGGGTGAAGAAACTAAACCACACTGGAAACAGCCATGGAGATGAACCAACAGATGTGCCTCTACTGTCACAAGTGGCACACCAGCTTCACAGAGCAGAGAACAGCTCTCCCACTGCCTCTCCGTATTCAGTTGTCTCCTCATAAAGTGCAGGTTCTCCAAACTCCACATAGGAGTAGGAAGCAGCAGGTCAGATTTTGGCTGCTGCTGGTGCTCTGTGTTTCTGAACACAAATCCAGGGTGCTCCTTACTTTATTTTCCATTCAAACAAAGCAAAGATTACTAAATTATAGCAATTGCGGTCTGATGCTGAAAATGTACTAATACAGAAACTGCACTAATACAGAAACTGCAAGGTCAATATGAAAGAATGAATCAATGAAGAATAAGAAAAAGGAATGAAGAAGCAGATCTATTTGGATTGCATAAAAACCACTGTGTTTAGTTCCATTCAATTTATTAAGAAAAATACGGACAGGCTGAAAGCCGCAGAACAGCAGCAAATCTGTCAGGAGAAAATGAACCTACAAAAAAGACAAGGTGTTTAAGTCTTAAATTTTGCTTATTTAGTACTAAAGAATCAAGACATTAAAAACCCTTTGCAAATACATGAAACAGGAGACTGAGGAGGATTAAAGATAATGTAAAAGAACAACTTTAAAGGATGAGAAACTGTTGAAGAGAAAATACGTAAGTAATATTGAGAAAGATTTACAATAGCAAAATTCATGAAGCTGCAGAATGAGGAATTCAACACCCTTGTACTATAATTACTATTTATGATTCATAATGATGATATGAGAGCCGAACTTCTCAAATTTGAACCAAGCACTTTATACTGTTTTAACCAAATACTAGGAGTCCTTCATTCATGATCTACTGAACTTACAGAAAAAAATCAAAGGAACCCAGCAGATAAGCATGTGAAGGAGACACAATGACAGTGATGAAGCACCTCGTAAAGTACCCACAGATCTTTTCTATAAATCCAATTTGAAATTTGAAGACTAAAACAGCTATTATTTTATCTCAATTGCAAAACACGTATCTCCATCATTTTAGAGAACAGAGCTCCCTCTCGTGGCTCCAGAAGGTGGATTTCGTGGGGGGGGGAGGAAAAAAAAAACAAACCACAAAAACTGAACAGAGTACTGAGCAGGATGAGACTGATCAGAGATAGAGAACTTTGTATATAAAAGTGTCATTATAAGGAAGATGCACTAGGAAGGCCAGGTGACTTAAAGAAAGCGATGTCACCTGTACTTCAATGCTAACTTTTAAATTACATTCTCTGCTAATTAACTTCCTCTGCTCAGTTTTTCTGCACCTGAGCATATTCCTGCAACATCAAGCAGTCAGATGTCTTAACATGTTTCCAGCTCAGTCACAGGGAAGGCACAGGAAAAGGAGAGTCAGGACAAGAAACGTGCCACCTGTACAGCAGTGCAGGGAAAGTAAACCAGATACCATCCTATGGATTTTCCTCAGCATTAGAGGTCCATGCACTGAGAACACAAAGGAAAAAAACACATTGGCTTAAAAAGGTCAAGAAATATATACATAGTGCCCTGAGTGAGAGAAGCACATCTTTTGAAACACTGCAACAAAAGCAGATGAAGAAATTCACATTTCTTTAAACCACTCTGACAACTCAGCCCTGCCATCTTCACTGAAACTTCTGCTCAAGCTCCAGCATTGCTCTCCCCGGCAAGCCCACAGTTCTTGCATCAACTATTCAAAGAGGACAGAGCAACGCGTGAATGAGCAAACACGCTGGTGCAACAGCATTACCCAGCACGGTCTAGTTTCTGCCGAGTCCTGGGGACAGGCTCACGCAAGGACAGCAATGGGAAGAAACATGCTCACGGGCATTCATTCCTCACTCTGGAGGAACACAGGAGCGGCAGTGCTGCAAAGCATTCTTTGTTTGCTTCTTTAAAATATTTATTTTTTTAAAAAACAACACCTGTGATAGGTCACACCTGTGACAAGTATTTCCCTGAGGCAAAAAAGTAAAGGGAATACCCAAAGCTAAGCTTGTCACCACATATGAGAAGTCTCTTTATGAACAGAAGCTCTATTCATAAAAATTCAGGAAACTGTTGGGGGTTGTTTTTTTTTGCCCCCCCCATTGTTTAATGAATATTCATATTTTGCTTTACACTGCTAGACACTTCATTCAGGATCATACACGGATTCTTTTAAAATTATTTTATTTCTGTATGAGAATTTTAGATTGGACAAGAATTTACACAGCATGCAGCTCGCTTTTGCTAAATGCGCTGCTCAGCATATAAAACTATTTTCCCCAAAGGGCATTAAAAAGGATTTCCTCTAAATGACAATATTTCTTTGCTGCAAAGACAGGATCAACGTCATGAAACATGAACCAGTGCAGAAAAAACAATTACTCTTAAGTCTCCAGAACAGCATCAGAAGACAACAGAGAATCAAATTCTTGATTCATAGGCTTGTGCTCACAGAAGATTTTGCTTCCAAAGTGCAGGACCAAAAAAGAATCAATTTCCTACCATGAAAAGAAATTACCATGCCTTCAGCATTTTGCTATTAGTGAAATATCTCCACTCTATCACCAACCAAAGGCAATACTTATCTAAAGAGCAATCTTCTTTAAAAATCATATAAAAATTGGTCTATAAAGAGGGAGATATCCTTAAATTTTCAATCAAGTAATAAACCTGGTAGATGAAAGACAGATCAATTAAAATTACAGTACAGTCCCCCTAAAAAGACACAACCACAGGACTTACAAACATACTTGTTATGTCGGAGCACCTAATCATAATCAGCTTTGGTAATTTGCTGCATCAAAACAAAAAGGAAACATTTTTAGAATTGATCATTCAGTTCATGTCACTTTCATGAAGATTACTTTGTATTGATCAACATTTAAATAGTAGTTGAAAAGAGAAGACCAGAAAAGGATAAAAAGTATCTTTACATGCTAAATACAGCATGAACCAATAAAAGCAAAATAAATTAGATCACTGCAGCCAAACCAACCCTGTGCATGTGCTCCCTGTAATGAAGATAATTATGAATGAAAGAGATGGTTCTTCATGTTTCAGTCCTAACAAAAGGAGAGTTTTTAAAACGAATTTAGACTTTAATCTGCTCAAAATGAAGTTTGCCATGCAGCAATTAACATCTGTGTGAAGCTGGACCATTGTTAGCTTTACAAAGACAAATGCTGGTTTGTTTTCTGAACAACATTTTCATGCTTCCTACCTGGGGATTCCAACTGGGGTCCAGTTTTTTCACTGTAGCAACATACTCCTGCATAGCTTGATGAGGGCTGGTGTCTCCCAGGGCTTTCCAAGCCTCCCTAGGAGAGAGAGCAGAACATCAGCAAGCTGCTCGGAGACATCACAATGTGTTTTTATAGTGTGATCAGTGGAACACAGTGAACAGACTCATCTAAATGCTTTCAGGGGGTGCAAAGCCATCTTTCATTCAGCTTGAAATGCCCAACTTTTCTCTGAAGCCATGAATGGCCACTGTCAGCACACCACTCTGCTGTAAAAGGATCTTTCAGGGGATCCTGCTCCAGGCTGGAAGGCAGTTTGTGATCACAAAGTAAAGCTGTTCGTAAAGCTGTAGCTATTCTCACAAAATTTTTGTTCTATGCGGGCTAATTCTGGATGAACAAGGCAAATACAGGAGCCTGGTATTTCACATCTGCATCAGGCATAGCAGCAAACACTCCCCTGTTAAACAAAGGATTTTAAGCCAGCTCAGCAGCAGACTCAGAGCTGACATTCTCTAGGTCCATAATCTGTCAACAGATGAGACAAGATGAAACAAAAAGTAGAGCCAGAAATTGCTAGGAATTGTGAGGTTTTCCTCTTACCATTTCTGCTTTCCCTCAAAATCGAAGAAGCCTGGCTTGGGAGTGTTACAGGTTCCAAATTTCACCTAAAGAAAATAAATTTTATTCTGTTAGAACAAAGCAAAGGAAGGGGACTTGCATAAGGGAATACTGAGTTCTGATGGTTTCAGGGTCATTTTGTTCTTGTGCCAAAGGAAATGTTTTCAAGGGAAAGAACTGACACAACTCAACCCCATCTTACCCTCAATTTTAGCCTTCTCGCAGTCATTAGCACCTCTGCATCCCTGTGGTTTTTTTGCATGATGCAAGGGAAGCAATTTTGTTCTGCAGCTCATTTCTTTTGCATGCATTACTCAATACTGATAACCAGCAAGCAATTTCTCACTTAATGTTATGTTTATTACCCAGACAAATGCCTCATCCTCCACCAGTAACAAGAAAAATTCTCTTGATTAGGGTTTCTACAGAGGTGATTATTCATTAAGGCTCAAATTCACCTGCTTCCGCACAAAGCTCAAGTAAACAGACTTTACTTAATTATTTCCAAGGTCCTCTGGAAGGCAAGGGGACAAGCTCAGAGTAAAGGAATGCCAAGCAGCTTCCAAATTTGCTCCAAGGCACCAGGCTGCATAGGAAGCACAGCTGAGCAACAAGTCAAGGCCTGAGTGCAGGAGATGAACCAGTCTGTCAGAAGCAAGCCAGAAATTAAAATGTGGGGGGAGAAATAAGAAACACAAGGAAGCAAGGGAACAAGTCAGAATTGGTGGATAGATATACGGGAAAAAAAATAATCTTATAGCCAGTGTAAAATGGACTCTGTGCCAGTGGGATTCAGGCAGTTTTCCCCAGGGCGGTGTAATGATGGGACAAATACAAAGCCCTTCCTCTTGCTGCAGGGAAGCCGAGCAGCCTTATCTCTCCTGCAAGCTTGCCCACCAAGGGGAACACAGAACTGACAGAAACTACGCCTGCCCAGGCCTCCAAAGGCACAACCATGTTCCTGCGATTAGGTCAGTGCTGACAATTGCCTCAAGAACAGAGGCAATTGAGCAGGTTGAGATTTGAGTAACTGAGATATTTTCTTGAAATCAGCTCAGGAGAATGTACAAGTGAATGTGCCTCTGTCCCTGCCTGGAAGAGCCAGGGAATATGGGTCAGGACCCACCAGATCTGGCTGTTACCCGTGCCCTGTTCTCATGGAAAATAAAGCCCTTTGCACACAGGCATCACTGGTAAAACAAATCTAACGGAAATGAAAATATCATTGTGTTAGGGAATGACTTTGAAACATGGATTTTTTTTTTTTAAACTTTTTTTTTAATCCCGTGGGGATGATGAAAGGCTGTAGGAGCCAGAGTCCAGAGCAGAACCACAGCTCCAAATGCAACAGCTCCTGGGAAGCAGTGATCACAGCAAGTCCCCAGAGCACAGGGCACAGCCCCGTGCAGAGAAAGCCCAGCACAGACGGAGTACTTAAGCAGACCCCAGGGATGGAACACAAGTCTGTTCTGGAAGTGGGCAAAGGCTGCTGGTGGAACATTTTGTTAGCCAAGCAAAACTAAACTGCATTCATCAAATGTGTCATGAAATATGCTCAAGTGTTCAGGCAGGTGAAGTGCTTAAATCAACTCACAATTCTTCACCTTAACAGGGTGGGGATTTTATGCTGAGGATGGAATCATTAATCAGGCTTTAAAGAGAACATGCCCGTGCTGAGATATTTATTAGTTACACTATGTTTTCATTTAAAGTGTTAGAGGATATGAGTGACTGTAACTGAAATTAATTTGCTGTACATCTGACTGTCTCCCAGTGAGCAATTCATTCAAATTAGAACATCTTAGCTGGCCTTTAAAACAGCACACTGCATTTCACAGAGGAAGAGGAGAAAGGGCTAGAAACAGTTAAGTCCTCTAAATCAGTCACAATTCATGTTGTGTTGTAAATGTTTTCTCCTGTGCTCAGAGGTGGACTGGACCACTTGTTTTTAAAAACAAAAAACAACATGGCAATAAAATGCAAATTGATTATCTGCATGGAAAATGCCTGCTTGGCAATTTTTTAGTTCAACATCTAACCTGCAAAAATTGGCCAAGTTGGATAAAAAAAAAAAAATCTCATCTGTTAATATTAATTTTCCACTACCATCATCAAAACACAACAGCAGTTTGCTCTCTTTAGATTTGGCATTCAAAGGCTGTTCCAGAGTCGGGAAAGACTGTTAGTAACATCAATAGTAATACAAATCAGGGAACAGTAGTTAAATTTCATCCAACAAGAGGGAAAAAAGTGCACTTGTGCCCTGTTTGCTATTTTAAGATTTATTAAAAAGGCTTGCAATGGGTTTGCTGGAAAGAAAAAAAAAAATAAAGGTTTTGGCTTCCCTCTTTTCGCCGCAAGACTCCATAATGCATCAGAAAACAACCAGGGATCGAGTATTAAAGGGGACCTGAGCCTGAGAGCTGAGGAAGTGGAGTTTTAGCTAAATACGCCAGTGCAAATTCATGACAAACACTGGAGAGAGGAAGCGGGGGAATGTTGTGAAGTATTCTGTCCTCCTGCTACCTCCCTGGAGGGCCTCAAAAGCTGTATTTCTCTATAACCAGCAGAAAGACAAGAGCCCATATTAGTATTTAAAGTCAGAGTTTCTCATTCTGTATCCACAAAATAATTACTGATGGTCTCCAGGGGGCTGACTGGTCACTTGACGCTTAGCTCTCCTCATTTGCAGTTCATCAGCTGCATTAAAAAAAGATGGTAGCCAGAATGCATTAAATACTTTCCTAGTATTGCTTCTGCATGCAGAGTTAGTTGCCTGCAGGCATTGTACTTCTGAATCATACAAAGACGATCCAGGCAGCTCCAAAGGGAAGTGTCTGCAGACATCTCCATTTGTGGCCAAAATGGAGAGTTAGAAACCTTGAATGAAGCCCTCACCTGAGAGCTGAATGTCACAACAGACAGAAGCCCAGAGATGTGTTAGTGTTGTGTACCATCCCCATACGACTTCAGCTGCTGGTCCAGACTGTGAGAGTCCTGCTCCACAACTGATTTTCCTCCCATCCTGGTGAGGGAGATTTTATCCTTCTGGGAAAACTGCTCTTTGATAATTTTTCAACCAATACACTTATACAGCAGGGAGCTCCAGCCAAATATTCTTACCTGATTGTAAATCTTATCAGGTGAACCATATTTGCAGCCTCCCTACGGAGCAGTAACAAGAACAGGACTCATGGCCATGGACAGCAGGACTAAGCTCGAACAGCACACAGCCCAAGCAAGCTGAATTTCTTTGGCAAGACAGGAATTCCTGCTTGTTCCTGCCCCAAAGCTCTGCTTCATTAACCCACAGGAAAGCCCTGTACTCAACTGACTCAAAGTGAGTCACAAAGAAGAACAAGAAAACATCAACCACAGACGGCAACGGGTCCTAGCCCTGACCACCAAGGGGCTGAACGTCCCAGAGGGAGCAACACTGGTGACACTGAGTCGCACCATCACACTGCTCTGGGCAACAGGAAGCTGGAAACAGAAGCGCTCACATTTAGGGCAGAGTTGTGGCATTATGTTCTACAATATTTGAAAGATATCACACAAAAAATAGGATTATATACTTGAGCCTGCACTCAGAGAGAGCATAAACCCTGTTTTGCCAACAGCACTGGATTTCCAGCTTACCTGCACTTCTCAGCATTACTTAGGCACCAGCACATCCTTCTGGCAAAGCAGTTTTTTTCAGTCTGAGCACTGCCAGCAAGTTCTGGATTCCTTCACCTCTCAGAACGATGACCACTACATTGGTCTCCACTACTACAGTTTCCGAACCTCAGTTTTTTGCATCCTCAATGTGACAGGCAAGCACTATCTTCACTTCACCACTACAGTCTCAAGGCACAAACCAGTGATTTGCCCAAAGCCCCACAGAAAGTAAGGGGAGAAAGAAAATCAGTCCCAGCCCAGAGCCTTACTGACTAGCCTGTTCTTCCTCCTCTTCTGGGAGAGAGCCGTAAACTCAGCAACATCTTCCAAAAACCTCACTGGAGATGACAACTAAGCAATTCCCTCATTTTCAAGTCTCTGACACATAAACAAAATCAGAGAGAAAAGTAATAAAATCCTGAAATGGCCTCCAATAAAAGGTAATAAAATTCCAGGAAAATGCCTATATACCCAAACAGTTTGAAATAAATAATATACAGTATTTTAACTGAGAGCTCAGCTGTTACTGTCACCTCTTTTATGATGGTGCTGTACCTTAAATCAAAGCCCTTAGTGACATAAAACACTAAACCGGGGAAAGACAAGGATGCCAAATCAAGGACAGTGGACAGATCTGAGTCAGCACCTTTTGTGCGCTAGCAATACTACTGTCCACCGGAGTAATATATTAGCAGCCCATTATGCATACTGATACAGCTGCTATAATTAAATAGAGAAAACTTGCATTAAGCACCCTCGTTTTGATTTAAAGCACAAAACGCTGCAAAACTCAAAGTTAGCAGAGTGCAATCCTGCAGTAGCTGTGCTAGCAAACTTCTCCCATCTCCACCGCCAGCGCTGCCCTCCCAGGCACCGTTTAAGGGACGGCACCTTTCTGGTGCAGAAAGCCAAAGGCATGGAAATCCAGGAGCCAAGCACAGCCTGAAACCAAGGAGAACAAAGGCACTTGCCGTTGCACCCTGCTTGACCAGGAACAAGAAGGACAGAGGAGAAGGGGACAGAAGTGCCCTGTTCACCTCAGCTGAACAAAACTGGAAGTCTGTGCTGGCACAGTGTTAATTATCAGCTTTTGCTGACTTACATAGAAACTGTTGTGAAATAGCTTCTGATTTCAGTAATTTTTAACATTAAACACCTTGTTGGTCTTACAGAGATAACATCAGGAAACCCTCTGGAGCCTGTCGACAACTACAAGTTGTTATGCAAGTAATGTGTTCCCATTTCCACCTAGGACAGCTACAAAACATTTGCAATAGAGTAAAAAATAAGGTTATTTGCAACAAATCTCCTGAGAATATAGACAAAAAAATTACAGAAGAGAAAAAACACCCTTCCTTTTCATCCCATCCTAGACTTGTTATTCTTA